AGGGCAGGCATTATTCTACCAGAAGAGTACTCACATTCCTGTTGCAGCAATAATAGCAAAACTGACTGAACACTGTTCTGAATGTACCCATGTACAATATTCCACAAACAACCAAAGGTGAATAAGATTTGTAACTCATGGCACCCATGATGCCAAAAAGTTAAGCTTGTGTATCATGAGCAAACACACTATGGAAGATGACACTCCTTCTGTCAATGCCATACACATAAATTACATATTTGGATGAAGGTAATACTTGTTCTCATCTCTGAAAACTATAGAATTCCATTCCATTCTCGAGGTGATCCTCTTGTAACAACACTGGAGTATGAATGGTATTGTGGCATACATGGAATTCTGGCTAGAGGCATAACATGTCCATAGTCCTGCTATAAGTAAACAATTTTCAGCAGTCCATATTGATACTCCTGGGCCCACATTTGCTCTAATTTGTGTTACAGATGATGAGAAGTCTGCCACTGCTGCCCTTATAATACATCAATTTTAGTGAGCTTCTATACTGAATGGCCATCCAGAACCTGGTCTACAGGTAAAGGAATGTTCATTTGACCATTTCCAACACTGAAGCACAACCAACAAGTCATATTCAGTATGCATAGAAATACTCTGAAATGATCATCCAGGTTCACAATCTGAGCTAGTCTCAAATGGCTTTAATATAAACATGTATGCATGCATCTCCATGGTATGACACCAGCGTACATTGAACTCTTTCACCACATTGAACCTTATCCCAGCATTATGTCGTTATTTAAAGCTCAGGCATAGACAGTGCACTGGTATTAGTGTTATTAGGTCACTAAATGACTGATAATTTCATTGGTATATCTACTGTCCCAAGTATGCACATACATTAACCAAGTCAAAACTGACATTCTTTAAAATGTAGCAATTTTATTAGATTAGCTACCAGCTACACTCAATATTTTTTTCTTTTAGCTTTCAATCAACCAGTCACATATTTTATGAACATATCAAATTCCAATGACACTAATCAGACTATAAATAAAATTCAAACAAAAATAAAAAATAACTACTCATATGCTATTTTTATGCCTAAGCACTAAAAAAGAACCACCAGGTCACTTATATAATTCTAGATTAATTTCATAAATAGAATTTTCTCTTAAGAGATTAAAATCAGAACTAGGTCTATTTTGAAAACAAATTACTAACATTGTAAATAAATATACCTCTTCCAAATTAATAGAAAGTGAAATTTAGGTTATATTAACTTAAACATATCATTAGATAAAAAAGCTAAAAAGCTCAATAACATGATAAAGAGGATGGAACAGATATCTTTTTCATGTTTAACTTATAGTATTAACCAAGAATAAAACTTCAGTCTTATTTTTTCATATGAAATGATCTCATTGCTCTGTTAAGATCTTATATTAATTTTCATAAATAGAAAGCTTAAATTTTTTTTTTAAAAATGGCTAAAATAATTCATAAACACATACTCAATGAAACAATGATTTTATTAATATGAACAATTTAAAGCTAATCTCAAACATTCATATTTTGCTTTTAAAGTCCTTTAGATAGATTGACATTTATCCATATTTTCATCTATTTTAATATATACACTCATGGGCACAATTATTGGCACCTCTTGTCAAATTTTTTTTTTAAATTTATCACTAAAATTAGTGTCTACATAAATAATTTTTGGTCAATGTAGGCACAATTATTTAAAGAACATCAAACAAAAGTTAAATTTCCAAAACAATGTATTTTTAAAGAGCAAAACAAAAAAATCATAATTGAATTGCACCTCTATACCATTCAATGATTAATAATCAATAGTGTATGCTTAATAACTTCCTTCAATCTACAAAGGTAGTTTTCAATTAGCTTCAGGCACAGATCAGAAGGAATTTTTTTAGCCCAATATTCAATCATATGTTCTTCCAGCTGCTTCAAATTAAATGGCCTGCTTGCTTTTAAGGATTTCTTTAGCTACCACCATACATTTTCTATTGTGTTTAAATCTGGACTTTGTATGAGCCATGAGGGTACATTTATCTTTTCTTTCAACAATTTTGAATTAAAAGCGAGGTATGCTTGGAATCATTGTCCTGTCAGAAGGTTCAATGATGTCATAATTTCAGTTGCTCTGCCAATGACTAGGTTTTGTACAAAACATTGAGATAATTCTGTTTTCTCATTGTTCCCTCAATTCAAATCAATTTCCAGTACCTTTAGTAGAAAAACAGCTCAACAGCATTATGTTGCCTCCACTATGTCTAATGGTAAGGATGGTATACTTCAGATTGTAGACATCTCTTTTCCTTCAAATGTTAGTCCTATCATTGTAGCCAAATAACTAGAGATTGGTTTCATCAGACCTCAGATCAAAGTGCCAAAAAGGTTTAGGCTTCTTCAGAAAGTCTCTCACAAACTTCAAATGAGCAGTTAAGTGGTTCTTCAACAATGGCATCATCTGGAGGACGACATTCCTTCAAGCCTCCTCTATTGTGAGTTTGAGTAATCAATGACCTTGAACTCTGATAATCTGTCAAATTGGCTTTCATCATTGCAGTTGTTATCTTAGGATCATTGTTGACCATTCTAATTAATATGCACTCATCCCATTCTGAAAAGGCTTCTTTCTGTTGCATCCACTCTTGTTAGCCAAGAAACCGGTATCTCAATACTTCACAATTATGTTGCAAACAGTTGATCTAGCCATATTGAAATTCCTAGATATTGTCTTATACCTATTTCCACCAGCATGAGTATCAACAATCTTCCTTAAGTTAGAACTGTGCACCTGCACCATGATGTTGTAGATAGAATAGTTTGTTGACCAAAAGAAGGTTGCAAAAAGATTGTGCAAGGGATATCATGTAGCCTAGTCCTGTGTTAGTCTAGAAATCTTTGTATTTTAGAACATTCTAATAATATAACTTCTATTATTCAACATGTATTCTTACATTATAGCCTAGTGTTTTTTTTTTTTGCAACACAATCAAATTTTTATGTAGGTGCCAATAATTTTGAACCATACTTTAAATTTTTATTTTTATTATGACAGAGGCATTTTCATAAACATCTAATTTTAACAAGATATTGAATAAAAACAATTTTTGACAAGGGGTACCAATAATTGTGTGCAAGAGTGTATATAAGTATATTGCTTGGAAATAACCTTTTCTCTAAATATGAATATTTGTATTAGCAGGTATATTTTGGATGTTATATAATTCTAAAGTTATTTTTTTTTAATCTGAAAATAATTTAAGATGGGAAAAATTTAAGTTTTATTGCTTCAACTTCATCTTGTGTTTGAGAAAGTAGATAAAACTGAGGAGAGTAATAATGTGTGTAATTTCCTTACATCATTGACTGTCTGCTATGAAGGTTGCCAAAGAGTGTAGCAGTTTTTGTTTACCGTAACTCCTGCTGAAGCATTAAAGTAGTTATGGAAGAGCAGTATATCCAAGTGTTCATTCATCAGTACTTCTCTATCAGACATCATAGCAAGTCTGCAATGAAACTTTTCAATATGGATATCTGACAACCACACAAAGTTATAGATTCATCCTTTTCTCCAAAACTGCAGTGTGAAGTGAATATAAGCAGCCCTAGGTGAAATTCAAACTTGGTTTGCCAATTCCCTTTTCCATACTTATAACCATCACACTACATAATATCCTTCATTACGTGAAGTAATCATGCATTAAAAAAATAAGTTATTTCAAGACAATAGCATAAAAAACATTAAAGTGTATTAAGGAGTGATTACAAGGCATTTTAAACACTTTCAATTATAATTGGTCACTTAGATGTAAAATGCAAAGAAGCTGAGTGAAAATGGCTAAAAATGTTCAAGATTATCCCTGAAACAAAAAAAAAATCTTATAAATTATCATCATTGCTACTCAAAGACTAAATTAGGAACATTTTCATATAACAAATATATGCACTGAGAAATTTATCAAATGGTTACTGCTATGGTTAAATCAAATTATTTCTTGCATTCAACAATATCAAAGTTCAATATAAAGTTTGCCTTATAGGTAGGATTACTTTGGAGTTCTAGGTTTTTGTTTTTTTGTTTCACTATTTCCATTCCAAAAGGAATTTTTAAACAGCTAAATTTATTACCCCTAAATTTTTATGATTTTCTTGGAACAATTCTAATAATTTCAATAAAATGTCTACTAAACAAAATTTATTCCTTTGTTACCTCTTGCAAATATATACACACTTACAGGGATATAATTTTCCTCCATCTTAAATCCACCTATTGCAAGCAAACCATATGCAATCACTTAATACGATAATGAGAGAGATGTGCTAAACTGGAGGCTCAATAATTTGATCAAAACATCAACAACAGAACATTTATAATCTTAACTAACACATTATTACTCTCAATATTGCTTGCAGAACGTATTTCAGATTTGTGAAAAAATATATATAGAACATAGTCAAATTCTTTAATTATAAAAAGGTAGAATTGTTTCTGTTTAACTAATATATATTTTTAAATTTGTAATATGGGCCACAAATCAAATATTTTAGCAAAGTGATATCAACATAGGTAACACCTAACAGCATACCACTTTCAATTTTAGAATAGATAGATAATGACAATACAATTAGCAAAATGATTTTATAAACTTGTCACTTTTAATAAATCTATTGATTAAATGCAGGCATATATTCTTTCCTGCATGAAAGAACATATAGAAAAATATACTGGAAGAGGAAAGAGTAAAAAATATTAAATCAAATCATCAATACTAACAGGTCATATTGGACCAAATATTAATAGAATTGTGATATTCAGTTTAGAAGCTGAGACTATCAACCTGAATCTATATCATATAAGAAAGCAATTCAAAAAGCAAATAATGGATATAAGAAAACAAATTATTTTATTTCTCTCAAAACAAACAAATATTTCGTTGCCAGCATCCTTATAGATTTAGTTTACAAAGAAGTGTGAAAGATCAGCTACTTACCAATAGCAACATGTGGTTTAAAATCCTCTCCCATTCGATCAACGATTAAACACAGAACTTCAAGGCCATTAAGAGAAATCTGAAATGACCAAATGAGAAAATAGTTAATGTAGAAAGAGAAAAAAAAACAATTAAGACAAATTTAATCAACAAAATTACAGTGAGTAAACACTGAAATTACAACTGCCATCATTGCATACATTGTACATTCATTTAAGTTCTGAGCGTGAAATGAGTTTAATCACTTAGACATTAAAAGTCTACTAACATTGAGAATAATAAAAAAATAAAGAATAAATACAGTGCCCATTAGAAAGTTTTTATAATTCCTTCTGTAACCTGATATATTTCATAAAGATGTTCCTCTACAAAGGGTATATAATAACTTTTAAAAAAACAAAACAAAAAAAACCCAAAAATTGAATATACAATTAATTACCAAAAGATTCAGTAAAATGTAATTTCTTGCATTATATCTAGAGTCTAATGATATTGTGATAGTTTATATAGTATGGTACTTTGATTACATCAGTCAAAACACTAATTTAAGTCACAAGAGATTTTTTTTTATTTTGTATCTAACAGGAATTTGATATTTACAAGTTTATTTAAAGAATTTTATAGTCTTAAATTTTCATATTCAGATAATGTTAATAACTTCAGTAATTTTTGGCACATAACCAAAAGTATCATTCTATTTTCCAATTGCAGAAAAAATTTATATTAAAAAAAAAAAAATCAACATTAGGCATGGAAATTTTGCCTTATCTTTTACAATCCATTAACATAAAAAGCAAATATTATTGTGAATAGTGAGTCTGTAAAATTACCATAAAGAGAAATGACTTCCATAAAGGATTCTCAGACATTATCATAAACATTGAGCTTATAAACAGTAGATCTATTAGAACATTTTTTACACACATATATTAGAGACATTCTACAACTTGTCCTTATTTGTATCACAAAACAATCTTCAGAGACAATGTCAGTTTGTTTCTCTAACAATTTCATCACATCAGTAAATAAATGAATCATCGCCTTTGTTGTCAGTCAAGCAAATTGCTTTCTTATACAAATAAAATTTTCCAGAGCCTAAATAGAAACTATATTAAAACAAAAATGTTTTATAGTGATAATTATACAGATTCACATTTTTGTAAAATATTTGAAAGAAAATTATTTACATATAGTAATTTTAGCAGCACACTGAGAATCTATGTCTTTTTTCAATTAAGTTTTATCAACAAACAATTTATAGAGATATCAATATATAATGAAAAGACTCACAAAAGTTTTTTCTTTCTTTTTTAATTTAATTTGCATACCTTTTCATAAGAGCTATCATAACTTGTTAAGTCAGAAAATAATATCTCAATAAAAATCTAATAAATCACTTTACAAACATTTAACCAGTATTGTGTGTGCATGTGAGTAAATGACAGCAAACAGGTTATTGTTCACACTAAATGACAGTAACTACATTTATTATTTTAAAAAGTTTAATTTGGCAGGAGAAGTTTTATCATTAGGATTAATACAAAGGTAAATGCACAAAATCTATCTTTAACAGTTAAATTACATGACAAGACATAGCTTACCTTTTAGCTTAACATTATGATCAGGCAAAGGAATTAACCAAAGTTTACCAATGATTAGAATATAAAAAATAAGGTTAAGTAGAATTCACTTAAACCATACTTTAATTAAAGCGAGTTAAATTTTTGTTTAAAAAAATATTTATTAATTCAGGAAACATTTTATAAAATTTTAGAAATTCAAATATCAACTTAAAATATGTTTGCCAATACAAGATCACCATTTGAAAAAAAAATGGAGACAAAGGTCAATTTTTAATACAGGACATTTACAATTTTATAATTACCACAAAGTTTATTATTCCTATAAAGATGGCTTGTAATTATATATAAAATCAAAGTGGAAATTAAACATTTTGAAAAAAATAAAAACTCAAGAGCAAAACTGAAAATCCAACTCAATTCTAAGTAAATGTCAAGAAATTTTTAAAACATGTAAGAAATGCCAAATATATAAAATGCACAAAATAAATTAACCTTTTAAAAGACATCTGGTGATATAAATACTAATTATAGACTAAATTTGTTTCCAACTGAACCATCTAAAAAATATTAATGAAATAAGTCATTTTTTCAACAAAATTTACATTTATGATTTAACATTGGATATTTTTTAAGGTTATTCACTTTTATCTCAAAAATTTAAGGGAAGGTTCATGTGAATTATTTTGAAAAAATAGCTTTTGTCAGGTTTCATTATATGCATTTTACAGCATATAATATTACAATCAAAAGCAGAAGTTGACTGAAATCATCAACACAGTTGTGAATGTATATTTTGCACTTAAAAGAACAATCAATACAACGAACAATTTCTAACATGTGTTACAGAGAGGCTAATTTTTGCCATTTGAAAATGTTCTGGACACATCTGGCACTTATGTATATCTTTTTACTTTTAACATAGGTCTTATAAAGTAGATATGTGTTTTATTTTTTCTTTTGCACACCAATTGCCCATTCATTTCATTATGCACATTTAATGTACATATGCTGATTTAAAAGACTAATCACATGACAGTAACAAGTTGCTTTACAAGTGACCACTTTGTCCGATGGCAAAAATGCAGCATCACTGAATAGACACTACAAACAACAAAATCAGAACTTGTTTACAAAGCCCTGCTGACAGTAAATTTATATCTGGTTCTTCATGAACATTATTACGGACATAAATTCATTGATTTCAGATGAAACAAAGGCAAAGAAATTACCAGAACAAATGTCTGGAAATTAAATTTTATGTGCATCTGTATATATATATATATATATATATATATATATATATAAAAAATAGAGAAACCAAAAAAATTGCTTTCCTTGGAGAAGCAAAACTTAATCCTTACTTTTTCATACATGAAGAACCTGTCTGCCAACTCCAACATATATATTTTTCCAAACAGGATTGACAAGTCATTCAACTTGGTTACATGCACAATCAGGATTGACATAGCCATAATCAGTAAACACTGAATCTTTGCTTACCCAAGCTCGATAACAGAACACAAAATTAAAAGTGTTGATTTGTGCTGAAATAACAAATTTACTCTACCCTCTGTACATTTTTTAATAGCTATTTCAAATTTCTACAAGAACCAATAAGTGATTTTTAAGTTTACAGCAATTCTTTAATCTAAAATAAATTTTAAGTTATAAAATCTTCAAAAAGAGAGAATCCACTGTGTAGTCTCTAAGTATCAACCCTTATAGCCCTACAGTTAAAATTATAAAGTTTTTATATACTTCACTAATAATCAAGAATCAGGTAATAAAGATAGTTTTATTTTATATGAACGATTTGACTTTGAATCAATCTGGAAATGTTCCTCAGTATGTGCTTACTATATATATGTGTGTGTGTGTGTGTGTGTGACCATATGATTGAATATAAGGATGAAATAAACTGTTGCTGCTGTCCACTTTTATATTTATATATACACTATCCCCGACATTGACCACTTTAAACCATAAATATAAGCATACCTCTTTTATATTTATATATATATATATATATATATATATATATATATATATACACACAAAAATCAAATATTATACTTATAACCCACTAAATTATATCTGCTGATACAGTTCTAAATTTCATAAATGCCACAAAATGATATCTAAATTCATGGGTTTCTTTGTCCTACTCATAATGAAGTTCATGATGATTTCCTTTTAGTAAATATTAAATGAATAGCATAAAAGAGTCATTCTAAAGTAGCCTGTCAGTTAATGACATACAAAAGAATTTCATAGAAACTAATCACAACACAGAAGAGATGTCACAAGAGAAATATTCAAAAAATGCACATGCTGATTCAAACTACACATTCAAACAAAACAAGCAATAAAGACATTTTTTTTTACATTTATGCAGATATGCACAATATGAGAAAAGTAAACAATCCAAGTATCTAGAAGCTTCATCTATCAAAAAGATATTTACTTTTATATACATTCATACTTTAAAAAGTCATTGCAACAAACAAAAAGAAAAATGAGCTTTAAACTTTATTTTTCCACTTGTTTCTTCCTTCATGATGTTATCTCTTCAGGCCACTGTTGCAGCCATCATCATTTGATGTATAATAGTATCAGAAAGAATACTATTCATAGGTTCATAAATTGACAAACACAATAATGTATTAAATCTAAACTTTAATATTTTTTTTTTATACAGAATCAAATATCCTGTTCTTTGTAAGCATATAACAGACAGGTACAACTCTTTGACTGATACATCTTTCCCAAAATATTCAAATATTTTGATATTTAAATTAGTTAAAAATAAGAGGCTGAACTGAAAGTTTCCCCAGAATCCCTACCATTGAGAAAGACTTATTCAACTTACATTGTAAAAACAAAAAAACTTTACCAAGTTATGAGACACGTTTTGTGAAATGTATTATTCAATAACCCACTTAAAATTGTTACAAAATGGAGCACAAATATAAAAACAATCATAAAAAAAATTACTTGTAAACAATGAAATCTTGTAGAAACTATTGCCCAAGCAAAACAACTTTATAACCGTTATAGATAATTCTTATATTTTCAAATGCTAAAATGAAACCAACGAATTACTTCCCTTGAAGTATTCAGATAATACATAGAACTGAAAACAAAATTAGATTTTTGATCCTCTTCATTTAGCCTTTTTTTCATTAACATTCTTTTTACACAACTCAATCTTGTATAAACTAATTGTAAATATATCTAGATATCTCAGGTACACTAATATTAGTGCCAACAAGTTTTTTTATTAGATGATTACTCTTTAATGTACCATGTATGTTCAAAACATGGGAAATCATGGCTCTCCACAACTTCTGTCTTTTGTTGCTCTAAATAACTTCTGACCCTTTACATCCCTTGTTGTCCTTGTCCTAACAAACTCATTATGCAGGTTATGTCCACCCTGTTTCTTTTGTCCCCAATATGTCGTGTGAGTGTCAGATTCTCCAGACCTTCCCATTTC